TTGATAGGTTTTCTATTTTACCGGTCTCATGGTAGTTGTGGGAGACCGGGTTATAGGATCGATTGCCGTACTATCAAGGGGGGCTCTCGATGAGTTGCTTGATCATATCATTCGTAGAGAGCTCAAACCATTGCATCCTTGCATCATCTTTATTGGTTCTTGTTTGGTTCTTCTCCTTGTGAGTTTTGGAGCTTATGGTCATTTTTATGACAAGCTCGAGTTCATCGAAAACGGAGTTTGCATGCATCTTCTATGATGTTTTCGATGTTGGAGGTTCTGCCGGTTCTTCTCTGTTGGAGGTTCCTCTCCTCTCTTGTTAGGCATACCTCCCCTGCCTCTTCTTACTATAACCAGTCTCTGTTTTGATGCTACTCGGTGTCTTGTATCCAACAAGCTTGAGTTTGCTCAATTCGGAGCTCATTTGCAGAAGTTATGGCAGTTCTGGTTTTATTGTTTTCCTTTGTTGTCTTCTCTGCAAAATGAAGGACTCCTAGTGTTGCTGATCTAGGGCATGCGGTAGTACTGCTCTCCGGAGCGGTAGTACCGCAGGCCCTTGCGGTAGTACCTCTCTGTGGGAGCGGTAGTACCGTGGCCTCAGGCCAGGCGCAGCTGCTCGAGCGGTAGTAGGGGCGGATGTAATTTTTTACATCCGCGCCCTACGTGGTAGTACCGCGCCGCTAGCGCGGTAGTACCATGGGCTCTGGCCAGGCTTAGCAGCATGAGCGGAAGTAGGGGCGGATGTAATTTTTTACATCCGCTCCCTACGCGGTAGTACCGCTCTTCGTGTGCGGTAGTACCGTGCCGGAGTTTTGCGCAGGTCCTCCCTCAACGGAAGTAGGTACGAAAGTAATTTTTTATATCCGTGCTTTCTCTGCGCCTAGTGTTGCCTGCCTTACGGTAGTACCGTAGGGGCGCGCGGTAGTACTGCTCCGGCGGTTCTACCGCTCGTTGCCCTGTGCAACAGGCCTTCATCTGGCCAGAGCTGCACATGCAGTAGTACCGCAACCTGCAGCGGTAGTACCGCAGCCAACCGCGGTAGTACCGCAGCTCCCTGCGGTAGTACCGCGTCGTGCGGGCTGAGTGAGGGGATAACGGTTGGTTTTTCTCCCCACCTATAAAAGGGGGTCTTCTTCCCCATTGAGACTAATCCTTTGAGCTCGTGTTCTTCCCCCATTGTTGACCTTCTTCGAGCTTGCTAACTCTCAATCCCTCCATGGATTCTTGCTAGTTTTTGAGGGAAAAGAGAGAGGAGATCTAGATCCACGTTTCCACCAATCACTTTCTCCTCTAAGTGAGGGGAACCCCTTGGATCTAGATCTTGGAGTTCTTCGTGTTCTTCTTTCGTTCTTCCTCTCATTTTCCTCCCTAGCATTAGTTGCTTTGGTGGGATTTGGGAGAGAAGGACTTGGGCACTCCGTGTGCCCTTGCCATTGCATTTGGTGCATCGGTTTGAGTTCTCCGCGTGATACGTGGAAGTTACAAGTTGAGAAGCTTATTGCTCTTGGGTGCTTGGTACCCTTGAGCTTGTTACTCTTGGGTGTTTGGACACCCTAGAGCTTGTTCCTCTTGGGTGCCTTGGCGCCCTAGACGGTTGGTGGTGTTCGGAGCTCAATCATTGTGGTGTGAAGCTCCGGGCAAGCGTCGGGGTCTCCAATTAGGTTGTGGAGATTGCCCCGAGCAATTTGACGGGTACCGGTGGCCGCCCCCAAGGGTTGCCAAAGTGTACGGGTTCGGTGACCGCCCCCAAGGGCGCCATTTGTACGGGTTCGGTGACTGCCCTCAAGGATCCCTTAGTGGAATCACGGCATCTTGCATTCTGCGAGGGCGTGAGGAGATTACGGTGGCCCTAGTGGCTTCTTGGGGAGCATTGTGCCTCCACACCGCTCCAAATGGAGATTAGCATCCGCAAGGGTGTGAACTTCGGGATACATCATCGTCTCCGCGTGCCTCGGTTATCTCTTACCCGAGCCCTTTACTTATGCACTTTACTTTGTGATAGCCATATTGTTCCTTGTCATATATCTTGCTATCACATAGTTGCTTATCTTGCTTAGCATAAGTTGTTGGTGCACATAGGTGAGCCTAGTTTTTTTAGGTTTTGTGCTTGACAAATTAACCGTTAGGTTTATTCCGCATTTGTTCAAGCCTAAACCGTAATTATTTTAAAGCGCCTATTCACCCCCCCCCTCTAGGCGACATCCTCGATCTTTCACCTGACTTACTTGCGGAGCTGAACGCCTCCCCTCCTCGCTACCGCCATATTAGATGGATGTGCATTGGGATCCTCGCCTGGACGCTTTGGAACATTCGCAACAAGCTTGTCATTCAGAAGGTCCCTCTTCGACATGCGACTGACGCTATCTTCAAAATGTGTGGCTACTTGCAGCTTTGGCGGCCGCTTAGCCGCCCCCAGGACCTGGACGTCATCACCAACCTCCTCGCTGATCTTCGCTTGATGGTGCTCCGCGTGGCTCCCCCGCTTCCGCCCCCTCCGCCTGAGCCCGACTAGGCTGTCGGACTGCTTTGCGCCTTGCGGTTTGCGCTGTGCGTCGTGTTGTGTGTGTTTAGGGCTTGTTATGCTGTGCCCTCAGCCCTGACCCTCGTGTCTTTTTGTATGCCTGTGAACCTCCGTGTGTGTGTGTGTGTTTGGACATGTGTGGAACCTTGTGGGATGCTTGATTTGGGCGGTTGCTTTATAATATAAAGCGGGGCGAAAGCCTTTTTGGTATATATAGCCCTCCTTCTTCCCCGAGGGGAAAGGCAACAACTGTATGTAGGTTTTTGTTGCATTGTTTGACATCCAAGTTCATCCCCACAATACCGATTTCCCATCTAAGTGAGGGAAAGTAACCATGGATCTAGGAGTAATTTATTGACCTTCTCCATTGTTTCCCCCCTCTATAATCCATCAATTGCATGAGTTGCATAAGGTAAGAATCGATGAGGTCAGATTTGATCATAAGTTGCTTTCATTGGATGGACCGATTTGAGCTCCACCAAGCAACTGGTTGGGTGAGAGCCTTAAAGCTTGTTACTCTTAGGGGCCTCCACCTTCTAAATGTTTGGTCATATTGGCTTTGGTGATCTCTTCACGAAGCTTGTGAAATAGGTCGGGTTCTCTGTGAAGTGATTGTGCAATTTGTTTTCTCCAGAGTGGAGGAAAATACTATCCATAGTGGATCAAGGGACAAT